CCCCAAAACCCCAAAACCCCAAAACCCCGGACTGATAGATCAGCAGTAACTTGTTAAATATTAAAAAATCATTGAATGAATATTTTTATTTTGAAATAATCAAAGCTCATTTTTATGAATAATTAATATTAGAGAGGCATTTGTTATTATAAAAGAAATCAAAATCATGGATTCTCCATAAAATCTGAAGCTTTCTTTTAGTCCATTTTCAACTTCATTAAACTGTAGCTACTGCAACGCTGGCTTTGACCTTGTAAACAATACTCCTTATAAACTAGGTTGTGGACATACAGGTAATCAAATTAGTCCTATAATTTTTATAATATTTAGTTTGCAAAACCTGTTTAAGAACATGCCACAAAGACAAGAAGGATTTTAAATGCAAGCATGATTAGATTGTGACAACAGTAGCTTAATTAAGAACATTGTAAAAAAATGTAGAAGTAATCAACAAACTCAAGGAGAAAAAGAGTGGTAATAGCCCTTAAACAGCAAACATGTTTCCACTCAAAGTTCGAAAAGAAACATAGAAATTATAACAATTACGATCTCAAGAATAAAACGAGTTAAGGCAGGATTCTTCTAATTCCCAATCCTTTGCTAAGTAAATAGAAGCATTTTAAGATTCAATTCAGCCAATGTCTTAATTAAAAATGGACTTTCAGCCTTAGAAATCATCATCATCCTCTAATCATTAGATTGAAGAGGAGAAAGTATAAACCAATACCTAAGAAACTTATCTTGATAATGAGTAAATGAGATCATAATCTCCTTTGCCATCAAGTTTGCATAACACTTACAAAACTGGCATCAAAATATAAAACCAACTAATTGAAGAGGTAGTTGAAGAGGAATCGTCCATCAATAATAGGACAAATGTTGAAAGCTTAAGATAGTCTCAGATTAGAAATGAAATCAATGGAAATACTAGATCAGTAATGTCCATAAATGAAAATGGCCACTCTCCAAGTGCAAATAATTTTCAATTGCATGATTTAGGTACAATTAGTGAAGCTGAACTTTAGCAAGAAAAGTTATAATCAAAGAGAGGATCTGCGAGAGTATCAGCTAGGCTATCTGCAAGAGGAACCCCCAAAATTTCATCTCGTTAGCACTAATAAGAGGATGATGTAAATAGACATAGTTAGTTATCAACAAGGAATCAAAATCTAATTGATAAAATGGAATAAAGTAATGCTAATGTCTAAAACTATTCTAAAAATTTGGGGACAGATAATCAGTCTCGTTTGTTTACAATAGAAGTAGAGCATGTATCTGAAAGAATTCATGAAGATTAACAATAATAATAAATGTTTAACTTAAATCCACTATTTGAATTTCCAGTAATTCATGGCTCAAGTTAAAATGAAATGGATTAGTTAAGGTAGGACAGTATTTATACAGAGACAGTTCAAAATGTGGGATCGAACGAAAATGACTAAGTATTGTATTAGAATAGTTTAGGAAATACGACAATTCAGTCAAATACTGAGATTTTTAGATTTCATTCTAATTTAACTTAAAACAGACAAGACCTTCCTTCTAATTAAGATATGACCAGGAACTTAAATGCCTCTAAATCCCAATCAAATAGTAATTTGGTGTCCCTAAATCCCTAAAATGATAATATTTCTTAAGTGTCTCCAAGGTCAGCCAATGTCTAACAAAAGACTGCATAGAATGAAGGACAGAATTTGACACCTGGAGATTTAACTAGGAATATAACCCCAAACCCTGTTCATAACCATTAAATATTTGAAGTTCACAATTAAAATACTCATATAAACAATGAAGCACACTAGCATACATTTTAAGAAAATAATCAGCAAAATAATAATTAGGAATAAAGTCAAATAGAAATCTAGAATCCAATTAATCCAATAGAATAAAAAATTGGCTCTGAGCATGATGGATAATACAGAGAATCTATACAGGAAAGCTAAACATAAATAAATTCTGCTAATATATAGCCTTAATATGTAGACGATCAATCTAAATTAGTTAAAGGAAAGAAAAAAGGTAAAAAGAAGAAAAAGAAGAGAGGGGTAAATATGACAAGTATGGTAGAAGAATCTTATTTTGACTACACAATCAACTAAGATGATATAGAGGGAGATATTCAAACAAACAAAAGTCAAAAGAGTATGAGAAGTTTAAAGAATTTAGTCAATCAAAATAATGAAGGTTCATACTCACAGAGTTTAGCTTAATCAAAATCACAGTATTAGTTGAATTCTAACAATTATATAAACCAAGATATTGATCATTATCTAGCCTAAGAACTTTAAACTATCCCAGACTAATTTGAAGAATATACAGTTGATCAAGACCGTTAAATGTACAATGATGAGTAAATGACAGAATTTTAAAACGAGCAAATCTAGCAATAGATAGTAGACATTCCTGAGAATTTTTAACCACAACTTGAGGCTAACTATGAATACAGACCGAGTTTATAGAGTTACGAGGAGTTAAGTCAAAAGAGGAACGAGGATTTGTATTAACTATAAGAATAACTTAGAGATTTGGAGCAGATTGACAGGCCTGCTATTCAAAATTCGAAGTATGTTCCACCACACTTGAAACATAAATAACTAAGAGGATCAAATACTAGCATGAATGAAATGAATCCATTGAATCATCATGAGAATGTACAGCAACCAAAAGGTCCATAGATGAGCACATAGTTTAACTCGAGAATTGAATCAGCTAATTCATATGGAGAATATAGAGACTTAGGATTAGAATCAAGTAGTCCAACTTTGATGAATCTTAATCAGAGAGGTAAAAGTTACCAAATACCATAGTAGCATAGAATTTAAGATGGGATTCCACCATTCAATAAAAGCATGGGTGGATAGTATAAATTTCAAGCTTTTAGTCAAAATAGGAGTTAAGGATAACTTCCAGATATTAGAAAGCAAATTATCCCAAACTAAAGTGGCATTATCCAAAATTAGAAACAAATAATATAAAGTCATTAAAAACTTGTTTAGGAAGAAGAATTCAAGCATGATATATCTTCTGAAATACCAATGAGCTCTAAGAAGTCAGATGGTGCATTGAATCGGCTTATGAATCATAATTTTGGAAATGTAGAAAAGTCGACTTATTATCCAAATGATATTCTTAACTAGACAGAGATAAGACCACCAAACTAATATTTCCATGAAACTCCTCCTTATATCCCTTCGTAAATGAAGACATAAAATACTGATACATATGACTATCAAAAGAATACTGTCAATTAATTTGAGAGTATAAATGAAAACTTTGTCTCATCTCCAGGTTCTAGAGCTAGTAGTAAAGGTTCCATTAGAAATTAATAAAATTTAAACCATTCCCAAGTAAATGAGTAGAATTAACTACCAACTCAATCAGCACAGATACTGCCATTATAAGAATAATGCAAGCATCATCCAAGAGAAATGATTAAATACTTCTGTAGAGATATTGGCTGTCTCAAGGGTCTCTGTCCTGATTGTATAATCGAGCATTCTAAACATGATTTCTTAGCAGCAAATGAATTAGCCTCATTCGAAATAAAATAAGTAGTCAAGCAAGCTTAGAGAAAATGCAAAAATTAAGTAAGGTTGCAAAAGGAGTTTAAAACTTAAACAGAGCAGAAACTTTCTTAACTTAACAGATAAAGAACAGACGAATTCCATAGACTTCATTGCTACTTCAATGAACTACATAAGGAATTAAATGAAAGAGAGACTCAGTTAAATCAACTATTCAATGAGGAGATCAGAGATATAGAGAGTTAACTGATGCAAGATATGCAGAATATATAACAAATTTACTCAGAAAATGTAAAGCTTTTTAAAAGACTCAGGCAACTTTACGATTAGCAATGTAAGTTTTAAAATTCTATACGAAATAATAATTGTAGAAATTTCTACTGAACCTGCTGTGGTAGGAAATGCTGATGTAGCTTACTATCTCTCTAATATAGTAAATCAAAAGGAATAGTAAACAACAGCGAAGAAATTTTATGTCTAGCTAGAAGAGGGCAAGCAAGATTTGATAACTCCATCATTTTAATTAGATCTAAGTAGCCATTGTTTTCTATATTTTAAACTTTTTATTAGACATTGAAAAAGATAAGATAAGAAGTATTGCGAGGCTGATTTCATCTAACTTGGAGGATGGCCAATTTTAATTGAACATTTAGTAAAATTTGGTAGTAACTCATTCCAAAAGACCCTCTGCTACTTTCCCAATTCAACCTGCAGAAGAATAATCTAGAGCTATGTCAGATAATCTTAGATAATCTACCAACAATCAGTCATTTTCAGCTAATAATACCAGGAAATCAATTGGATAAAGAATAACAAGGGAAATAGGAGTATAGACAATGGATCCTTCTACCAATCCCTCAGATTCCTCTAGATTTAAGTCAATCAATTAGGTTGCATTATTGCCATAGCAATCTAATAATGCTAATCTAGGTGAGATTGTTAGCACTAATAGCAAGAATATCTATTGGTTTAGATGGGATAGCTCAGAAGTTTATAAATTAACATAAGAAGGCAAAACTTGGCAGCTTAGGCATGACATCAAGAATTAATCTAAGTTTTTATTCTTTTCCTCTATTGTTCACCTTAACAATGACCTTGGTTGTTTTATCATAGGAGGCTCTGATAATGAAAATAACTATTCTAAAAGAGTATAGTATTTTTGCAAGTATAATGTATTCATCGAAAAACCACCTATGATAAATAAGAGAGCATTTTTCCCTTCGATTTTCGCAAGACTTGACAACTCAATTTATGTTCTTGGAGGTAGTGACTCAAACCAGACTGATCTTAATAGATGTGAAAAGTTTTCTTTGATTGAAAATGTCTGGAGGCCGATAGCACCGATGAATTTAAGCAGAAATGGCACAGCAGCAGTGATTCTTGACCATTTCAGACTCATATTTACCTTTGGTGGTAACAATCATAAAGTTGGATCTTTAACGAAGATTGAGAAATATGAGATAGATTTTGACAAATGGACATTACTTAGCATCTCAATGAAACATGCTATTCATGATCTTACAGCGTTTTGTGTTGGGAAAGAGAGAGTACTTATATTTGGAGGACACTCTAATACAGAACCAAGCAAAGATATCGAAATGATCGACTTAAGTTTTGAATGTTTTAAAAGTAAGAATGGAAAGAGCTAAAATTTTATGATGAAGGAGGGAGGAAAAACTTATTTTCCACCATTCTATGACCATTCCACAGGGAAGATCTAATTGCTGTTCGGTTATTGTGATACTAATCCAAGCATTGAAGAGCTTGAAATTTCAGATTTAGTATTTACTGGAAGTCATCTTACCTATCACAACAATATCAATTAGATAGGCCTTTCACCAAACTCATCAAGTCGAGCAAATTAAAATTTAGGCATAAAAGGTGAGAGAAGATCTCATTCTTAAAATAGATCTAGCTAGCAACTCTTAGACATGTGAGAAACGAAATATTGATAAATTATTCTTTGATATGAACAATCTATAATCTTAAATATTATCAGAACATCAACTACCTAGTACATAACTTTGCAAAGACACTTAACTTATTTCTATATTTTATAAATTAAGAATGGTTTTTAATGTTAATTGATTAAATTAAATAACTATAATCTCTTCCTCTTAAAGCAAAGAATTGAGACTATAAGCACACTCATTATTGTGCCTCTTGAGCGGGAGCAGGAGCAACTGATTAAGTTCTCAAGAATCCAAGCTTTTGAAGAGCAACATATTCGTTTAGAGTGCAGATAAAAGTTCCAGCCACAGCTGCAGATTTTCCAGAAGCACTCAATCTGCCAAATCTAGTTAGATTGAAGATTGAGAATAATCCTAGAAGACTGTTTCCAACAAGGAACGTGCCAGTATATCTTCTGTATTTTTGCTCCTTTGCTAATTGAGCAATATCTTGATGAGCTCTAACTCCATCGAATCCGTTTGGAGCAAGAACATTCTCAAGAAGTCCTTTCCTTGTAAATGAATGCTCGTTTAAGTATTGTGGGTTCATTTTTAATTATAATTATCACTATTTTTATAATACTTTAGTTAAATTAAGCCTTTAGGGGTTTTGGGGTTTTGGGGTTTTGGGGTTTTGGGG